TATTATTATTATTATTATTATTATTATTTTATTATTATTTTATTATGTTTTTCAAAACTGGGTTTCTCTGTATTGCTTTGGAGCCTGTCCTGGAACTCTCTCTGTAGACCAAGTTGGCCTTGAACTCATAGAGATCTGCCTGCCTCTACCTCCTGAGTGCTGAGATTAATGGTGTGCACCACCAATGCCTGGCTCGAAGGGACCATTGATGAGTTATTCCCATTATTAGGGAAAACAAAAGAACATTTCCCACAAAGGAACCTTTAACATTGAGTTATTCCCACTCTGAGGGCAAAACATTTTAATCAAAATTAAGCAAACAAACAACCAGACAATCTAAGGTCTGGGCCGGCTGTGCTTGCTCAGGCTGCAGCATTGAGGCTCCACCTGTCATGCTTGGTAGTTCCTATGTCTCCACTTTGCTGCAGGCCAGTCCCTGAAAGAGCTGACAGGCAGAGTGCAGCCAAAGAGATCAGAGTTTCAGCTAGTCTTAATTTCTTTCATCAGAAGAGCCTTTTTTTTCTTCCTCAATTTATACTGGAAAGAGGTTTTTTTCGCTTATTTTTTATTTATGGGGCCTTTTAAATTTAGGCCTTGAGTCATCATTCCCCACCCCCACTTTTAACCAGGAAAATCCTTTTGTCTGATTAAACATTTTCTCCTTTCATCAAGAAATTCCCTTTCCTTCCCTCTTCTCTACTGAGAAGAGCCTTGTTCCTCGATTTATTCTTTGTTCCAAGAGCCATTTTACTTGTTGATGCTCCAATCCTGAGATGGGGAATTTAGGTCCCCCATGTTCCAGCCCTATCCTGGAGCCTCATCTACTACTATGGGTGTACCTTACCTCCAGTCTTGGGGTATCCAGACCCTTCTTTCCTCATGCCCACGTTGCTGATCACCAAATATTGAGGTGTTCTGCATAGTGCAGGTCATTTGAAGACAGAAGACATGCCAAAATGAAATTTTAAGATCTATGGGACAGCAGAAAGGGCCAGACTTGCTGATGGACTGAACCCTGAATAGCCATACAAGGGTGTATTTATCCATTGTTACACAAAGAATTCCCTCATACAAAGGTCCCCAATCTAATTTACATGTCTTACTAAAGGAAAGCATCACAGGCCTCCATTACTTCAGTTCTTTATTATGTATTGTTTGAAATACACAATAATCCAAGAGCCTCAGGTGTGCCTGAGGTGTCTTGTGACCAAAGTCATGGGATGGCTGCAATGTCCCTTCAGCAAAAGATTTCTACAAATCACTGAAAACAATCTCTGTTTTCCCCAAGGATTCTTTACTTTTTACCACAATGATACTTCAAGGTCAAAGTACTTCTAGACAACAACTGTTCACTCTAATGTCTACCCCAGATACAGTGACTACTAAATTCTTACAACACACATTTTTGACAGACAGTTTCTCTTTAGAATGGATTCTACAGTGTCTATGTAAAGACGACCTGCCAGTGAAGCTTTCCCACATTCGGTGCAGACATGTGGCTCCTATCCTGTGTGAATTCATTCATGCTCTTTGAGGTGAGTTTTAGAAGATGTGGCTTTCCTACAATGGCTACTTGTGTAGAGTTTCTGCCCAGTGTGGATTCCAAGGTGGTGCTGAGGACTGACCTATCACTGCAGGTCTCCCGCAATCAGAACACACTTAAGGGTTCTCACCGATGTTTATTTGATGATGTACGAGCAGCAGGAAGTTAGTACTCAACATTTCTCACAGAAATAGCATTTGTAAGGCTTCTTCACTGTGTAATATGAGCTGTGCTTCTCCAGTTCTGATGTTCAAATAGATGATTTTCCACAACCCTTGCATCACTAAGGCTTCTCCCCAGTGTGCATTCTCTCATGTGTGGTGAGGACTGACTTAATGGCGGAAGCACTTCTCATAGTCAGAACGTACATAAGGCCTTTCTCCTATGTGTATTTGATGCTTACCTTCAGATGGGTTGCATAACTGAATGACTTCCCACACTCTGGGCATTTGCAGGGGTTCTCCTTTGTGTAAATGCCGTCATGTACCTGATGTACAACATCTGGCATCTAGGACATTCATAAAGCTTTTCTCCTATCGTCCAGGAGAAAGGGTCTCCCACCATCCTTCAGGTGCCACCCAAGGGTCAGGTGTTTTGTGTTGTGTGGGACATTCAAAGAAGGCAAGTCACTCCAGAATGTAATTTTAGGCTCTCTGACAGCCGGGAGGAGCACTATCTGTGAGCTGAACCTCGAATTTCCATTCAGAAGCATATTTATTGATTATGCATGAAAGACCCCTGGAGACTCAGACCCCAGGATCTCCACCCAGGACCTCGGTCACCCAAATCACCATGCGGAGGCTGAAACTTGATGCAAACAGCAAGAGGCTTTATTGTAGTTGTTTAACGAGCTAACCCCATGTTAGCTGGGGCCTTTCATCCACCCG